GAAATTACTATTTGTTGGTAAAATTTAGTAGGAATTACTATTTCTTTGTAAAATTTATCAGAAATTACTATTTATTGGTAAAATTTAGTAGGAATTACTATTTCTTTGTAAGAATTAGAAGGTATTACTATTTATTGGTAATATTTAGTAGGAATTATTATTTATGAGTAAAATTTAGTAGAAATGAGCATGTTTATTAGTCAAATTTAGTAGAAATTACTATTTGTTGGTAAAATTTAGTAGAAATTACTATTTCTTAGTATAATTTAGTAAGTATTACTATTTGTGAGTAAAATTTAATAGAAATGAACATGATTATTAGTCAAATTTAGTAGAAATTACTATTTCTTTGTAAAATTTAGTAGGAATTACTATTTTTTAGTAAAATTTTGTAAAAATTACTATTTATTGGTAAAATTTATTAGGAATTACTATTTTTTTAGTAAAAATTACTATTTATTGATCAAATTTAGTAGGAATTTATCAGTAAAATTTAGTAGTAATTACTATTGAAATACAATTTAAAATTTTTGTACCAACCCTGATGCTGTTAAATTTTATTCTTTTATTGTGAGTCAGTATACTTTTATAATAATGAAAGAGTGAAAATTTATTTACTAATTGAATTAGTAACAGTTTTGACTCATTTTTAGTAGTAAACTACTAATTGCTAGTAGAAAACTACTAATTTATTGTAAACTCTTATTTTTTACTTTTTTAAATTTGTAAGCTAATTTACTACATAATTTAGTAGTTTTCTACTAGCAATTAAATTACATACTTAATTTTTTTTTATTACACTTTGATGTTTAATACAAGTTTTTTAATTTAAGTGGGAACTTGTTGAACTAAGCAGAGTAGTTAAAAAGTAGTCAAATCTAGTAGGAATTCTTTTTAGTGTGTTATTAATTCAATTAGTAAACAAATCCGCATTCTTTCATTAGTAGAAAACTACTAATCCAAATTTAGAGAGTACAATAATCGGAATTTGAGTAGAGGATAAATTGACAGGATATCAGGAGAAGAATTTTCGATTACAAAGATTTAATCTTTGTAATCGAAAATTCTTCTTTACTAAAAAAAGTAATTTACTTTTTCTTCTGGCTGCGAGCAATTCAAATTATCGATTTAAAAATGAGTGGGATCTTTTTTAAAATGAGCAATAATAATAATAATAATAATTTGTTCTTGTCAGTAGTGTTGAGAAATTTAATGAGAAAAGCTACTGGTGTACATACAGAATCTCATAAATGGTTCGTGCCAAAAGTAACACATTTGCCTCCGACGGTAGTTAAGAAAGGGAAACATAATATAACGGAACTGACATAGTGACATAACGAAGAATTTACGTAGTTGTGCAATATGTGTGGCGAAAATGGTGCATAATGTGCATCTGGCTCAGTATTCTCGCGTATACGTGTCTTTGATATAGGAGACAGAGTTCCTCTACGCACATATGGCCCTCGTGTATATTATGGATATTTGGATGCATACCCTTGAAGTTGGATTAATAAGGGCTTATTTTAGTATTTTGACGATACGAATCGTAATGATTAATTTGACCGTTTGTTTCGCGTCATATGCACTGGCATATTTCGTGCGCGAATCACTGCAGAAATATATATATATAAACCAGCCACATGTTTGGTCTAATTGAAAGCTATAATACATGTCCCAGCTTTCAGTGTTATTAATTAGCTTTCAGAGTTAATCACATAGATTCGACTAGGAAATTAATGACTAAGTTTGACACCATTTAGAGATGATTAATTACGTAACAGACTCAATCAGCTTGATATCTGCCCTTCGATCTGCGCTCTCGTTAGACCTATGCTTGTAATAATTGATATATAGACTTCAAAAACCGATTTGCTGTTTATATTCCTTTCATGATCATAAATTTTGAGAGAGAAAAAAGAAGCTTCCTTATTTCGCACGAAACATCCACGCAGCTTAATAGAGATTTCACAGGGGGGAGAGAAAAAAAAAATTATAGATCCTATATGTGATTCTAATATTCTCCCTAAACCCCCCTCCCCCTATATGAACGGATCAAAGTGTCTCGTTTTTTGATTTATATCCCAAAGCTGACCTCAAATTGTGGAATTAGGGTAGAAAATGCGATTCTAAGAAACACTCATAAAAATATTTATTTCTGATATAAAATGTTGAGTCTAAATAATAAATTCTTGAAGATCTTGATCATATATATCTTTAGACATTTTCGGTCACTTAAAATATATAGTGATTTATTTATTGGAACGAGAGGTTTTATCGTGATTTATAATAAATATTGCGTTTCAGGAAAAGATAAATAATATGTTATTTTGAAGAATTTATTACTTGGAAAGTTGCTATTGATAACTACTTCGACGCGACGGGTCAATATTATATTGTATGTTTGAAATTGTGGAACAATGTGCAAACTGTTTAATAAGTATATCATTTGACATGGATTCTCTTTTGATATAGTTGTTTCTATTGTTTCTATTATGCGAAGTCTTTGATACAAATTTCTCATTATTTTCAAACACAAACGTTCTATAACTATAATATGTTGGAGCAATCATCTTCTGTATTGCATCACATCATTGTACACTTCTCATCTGGCATAATTAGTTTCAAATACACTTGATATAAATAAAAGATCATTGCAGTTTGATAGTGAAATTGTATACTACAGATTCGACTTCATCTATCTAAAAGCTACAATTTCAGGGTTGCCACAGGTCAGGGAAATCAGAGAAGAGTCTGGGATTTTTATTTAAAATACTGGAAAAAATTAAATTTTTAGAATTTATAAGAAAATTATGAATTTTTGTGTCTTTTTCGTTTGACTCATAAACTATGAAATTGACAAGAATTCTAATACAAAACCTTCAATTTTTTCTATTTCTGACAATAATTATTTTTTTTTAAATTTAAAATTTTAGAAAATATCAATTTTTAATGGATTTAAATAGAAATTTTAAGAACAACTGATTAGAGAAATTCAATTAATGTTTTCAAAAATGATAAACTTCTTCCCATAAATTCAATTATATTCAAAAATTTTTTTTAAATTCATGTTAAAATTCCAATTATCTTTATAAATTATAAAAATTCTCGTCAAAATTCCAATTATCTTCATAAACAATAAAAAATCTAGTCAAAATTTCAATTATCTTTATAAATAATAAAAATTTTTCTCTGAAATTAAATTATTTTCAAAAATTTTCCTCATTTCAATTATTTTTATTATCTGCTATTTTAATAACATTTTCCAAAATAATTCAATTATTTAAACAAAATATTAATAAAAATTTCACAGGAATTCAAATACTTACCAATTTTTTTTATAAATTTTTTTGGCACCAATTTAATTATTTTTAAATATTTAATAAAGTTTCTCGAAAGAATTCAAATATATTCAGAAAATTGAAAAAAATAGTTCTGAGACATTCAATTATTTCGAAAAATTTAAACAAATTTCTTTTAAAAATTCTATTATTTAAAAAAATGTGGCCAAAATTTCTTTACAAGATTTAGAATAAAATAGTAATTTTAATAAAATTTTCCTATACAATTTAATTATTTTCAATACAATTCTTCTTAAGAATTCAATTACATATTTTCACAATTAATACATTTTTTATGGGACATCAATTATTTAAAAAAATTCGAATAAAATTCTTTGCAAGAAATCAATTATTTTTGTAAATAATAAAATTTTTTTTGAGAATTCAATTATTTAAAAAAATTTCAATAAAATACTTTATAAATTAAAAAAAAAATTATAATAAAATTGATCATAGAATACAATTTAATTATTTAAAAAAATTTAAATAAAATTTTTCACAAGAAATTAATTATTTTTATAAATAATAACATTTTTCTCCGAAATTTAATTATATTCACAAATAATACCTACTTTTTTTTATCGGAATTCATTTAAAAAAATGTGAATAAAATTCTTTGCAAGAAATCAATTATTTTTATAAATAAAAAAAATTTTTCTTGAGAATTCAATTTTAAAAATTTTTGATAAAATACTTTATAAATTTGAAAAATTATAATAAAATTAATCATGGAATACAATTATTTTCGTAAAATATAACATTCTTTTTAGGAATACAATTATTGACAAAAATGTTTGTAAAATTTTTCGAAATAATTCAATTATTTACGTAAAAAATAAAATTCTTCGAAATAATTCAATTATTTAAGAAATTTTAATAAAATTCTTCGCAAGAATTCAATTCTTTTCAAAAATAAAAATTTTTTCAGGAATTCAATTATTTAAAAAAAATTTAATAAAATTCTTCGCCAGGTTTAAATTATTTTCAATTTTTTAATGAAATTTCTCGTTAGAATTTAATTATTTTCAAAAAAGTTTAAAAAATTCTGAGAAATTCAATTATTTAAAAAAATTTGAATAAAATTCTACACTTGAAATTAATTATTTTCATAAATAATAATATTTTTCTCCGGAATTCAATTATTTTCACAATCAAAATTCTTCACAGGAATTCAATTCGGTTAAAAAAATTTTATTTAAATTCGTTGCAAGAATTCACAGGAATTTAATTCTGTTAAAAATTTCAATTTCAAGAAATATTCAATTATTTAATAAATAATTTATTTTTGTATTCAAATAATTGAATTCTCAAAAAAATTTTTAATAAAAATTGATTAAAAAATTAATATCACTTAAAATTTTTTAATTATAATTGAATGTTAAAAGCAGTATTGTGTAAATTTTTAGAAATAATTGAATTTTGAAAAGGGTTCAGAAATTAAAATCTTCGAAAATTTGAATTTATATTTACATTATTCTTATGATATGAAATAATGATTTTATCACTCTATAATCTTAAATTTTTTAAGTTATTGAATTTCAAAAGGTTTGAATTTGAAAATCTGAATTAAGGTTAATCTTAATTTTTTGGAGTATCTAATAAATTTTGTAGTAAATCAGAATATTCTCCAGGGTCAAGGAAAAAGTGAAAAAAATACAACAATCTGTTTAGTGATAAATTTTGTTGAACATATTTAAGTACAAGAGTCATTTTCTACAAAGACAATTTTTTTTCAGATTTTAATTGCATTGATAGACATTTCACGAAAGCAATTGAATTTTTGTCAGCGCATGACTTCGATAAAGCAAATTATGTATTTTTTATTAAATTATTCTGTAAAATCAAAAACACCTGCAGATTTTTATCTATTGTCTTACATAATACTTTTACTGAAAAATAATTATCCACCAAATAATCTTCTGGAACATTTTTAGAACATTTAGGATTAAATAATTTTCTAGAACAATATATTTGTTAGATATAAAAACTTCTGGAAAATTCTTAGAACGGACACGTCGGTGATATTCACAACGTTTATTATCAACGATTGCAAGAAATAAAAATATTTTTCCAAATTCTTTGTTTAGAAATTTTTCTATTTCAAATTTTATTGATGAAAAAATTCACGATAGTGTTTTTGAGCAATAATATGTAAAAATTTGAGTAGAAAATATTTTTTCTTCTAAATCGTTGATTATAAACGTTTGTGAACTTCACCAACGTGAACCGACGTGGTTCTAATTACAAAAAATTTTTTGCCATATTTGACTCTTTTTTTTTTGTTTTCTTTGAAGAAATTGGTAAAAATAAAAATAGACCCTCCACCAATTTTTACCATTTTTTTATTTTGTTTGAAGAAAATGTAAAAATAAAAATAGACCCTCCACCAATTTTCACCATTCCTTTGGATATTGAGACAGTGATAATTATGAAGAATTATCGCGAAGCTTAATGTTGTTTCTCGCTGAATCCTACGATTATACACATTGTTAAAAAAATAATTTTTCAAATATTCAATATCTGTATGGACTTTTTGATTGGGACTTTTCTTACCATTTGGTCTTTCAGCTCCTTTACAAGTGAGTCGGTTTCAATTGTATTGTTACAAGGCAAATCTTTTATGCTACTTGCAAATGAAAAATGAGTTAAATACAATACCGCTTCCATAAAATTAGCTTTTTCTTTTTCATGATATTCACTCATTGACTGAATCGGCGAACATAACTCTTTGACTTTTTGAAAATTATCACTTTCCTTTTTCAAATCAAGACAACTGGATTCATTTTCAATTTTCGGATAAAGGGCGAGAATATATTGCAATAATGTTATGTTAAACGCATAATTTATATCGTCAAGTGACATTCTCTGCAATTGCATGTTAAGAATATTAGAATATATTTAAAATCATTTACAACTTGGGCCACGTGATTAATTGTCGATTATTTGGTTTTTACCCCAACTTCGAATAAAATAACTTATATTAATTCAAATATTAGCTTAATTTATAATTTTACATTAAGAAACTGATTTTAAGGTTTGGTTTATTTATTTAAAAACCAATAGCTGAGTAATAATGTTAGTTAATATTTATTACTTACTCTGATATTATTTGAAACTATACCCAACTAAAATTTGAACAAAAAAATAATAAAGTCATTAATTATTATAAATCCTCATTTTACATGAAACGAAAATTATTTTTCTATTCAGATATCAATTTTGCAACTAACCCAACTATCTTTCTCGTACTCGTCAAAAGCTTTATGATCTGTTTTACAAGACTTCTCTTTAGATTCACTTAAAAAATCATTTAATTTCTTTATAGACTTTTCAGCTTTATCTATCGTGCTATTTAATAATGAAGTGTCATTTCTGTACTTCATATAAAAAAGAAGTTCAAAGAATAAATATTTTCCTGATAACAAGTAACCTTTAATTCCTAAACTGGAATCACAATTTTTAATGATGTTGAAATTTTTAAAGCAAAGTTCCTTATACTCCAACAGCTTATTAAAAGTCCTTAATTCCAAAGGGGTCTTGTCACTCTATTTAAAAAAAATGATTGTTGAACAAAAAACATTTTTTTTATTAAATTTAATAAATATTATTAAAATAAATATTTACTTCTATTAGAAATAAAGATTTAAAGTTTTCAATCAAAATTGTAGGTATAAAAGATTTAAAAATTTAATTTTAAGACTCTTCTTTCATTCTATTTTAAATACTAAAAAATAAACCTTTATAGTTTGTTAAGAATTATTTCAATTGTTTATTTTCGTTTCAATAAATATTATTTTCTCAGTGTAACTCTTATAATTATCATCTAATAACAACTTTCTTACCTTTTCCTCTTCTGTAAATTCAAAATGAGATGTCATTGTAAAAGTAGATTGAACAACCAAAATTAAAATGAGAAAAGTATTCTTTATTTTCATTTCCATTTTTAAATAAACTTCAAATCTTTCGCACAGTGAAAAGTTTTCTAAATTTCCTCCTTATATACCCACTTTTATGCGTTTTTTTCTTACAAACATATATGAAATCTGTATAAATATGTTTCTATTTTATTTTTAACGACTAATTTAATTGTTTTGACACGATTTTTTAAAAATTTTGTTCTATCAGTTTCGTTTTTTATTTGCAACTTACACGTGGCTCAATATTTTCTTTTCGTTTGTAGATTAAAATAAAAATATTCTTTTTTCAAGGTTTTCTATTTTTTTCTGTTTGTAATTTCCAAGATACATTTTATTTAGTGTTTACTCAAGATTAAAATAATAAAGGAGAAAAAAAATATTACAGTAGATTATTTTTATAGGAAATGTTCTTCACTGGTTACAAAGTGAATTTTAGAAATTATATTTTTCAATCATAAAAATTATTTTTTCAAAAATTTACCAAACTAAATGAAAAATAATTTAAATTACACACTTTTGCTTAGTTATGAATTAATTTTTTTAAGAGTGTAATTTTTTTGCTAAAAAATGCAAATTAAATGTAATCTTAGAAAAGTAGCGTCGTAAACTTCAAAAAAATTAGGGAAATTTTATTTTTGGTGAAACAGTGAAAAGAAAATATTTTTTATTTTAATTTTTGTTTTTTGTTTGCCTCACAAACTATGAAATTATATCGAATTCTAATACAAAACCTTCAATTTTTTCTATTTCTGACAATAATTTCTTTTTAATAACTTAAGTTTTGACGAAATATCATAAGAAATTATTACTTATAAATTACTTCATGAATAATTTTACTTAAATATTTCAAAATTAATTGAATATTAAATGAGTAATGAATAAATTCTTCTGCTATTCAATTATTTGCAAACATTTTTTTTTTCAAACATTTGAAATAATTCAATTATTTTTCATAATTTTAATAAACTTTTTGTCAAGAATTTCAGTTATTTACATATTTTCATAAATATAAAAATTCTGCGTAGGAATTCAATTACATTGAGTACAATTTTAATAAAATTTCTCGAAAGAATTTAATTATTTTTAATACAAATTCAATAAAATTCTGTGCACGAATTTAATTCAATAATTTAAAAAAATTTAATAAACTTTTTGTCAAGAATTGAATTTTTTTTTCATAAATATTAAAATTCAGCGCAGGAATTTAATTATTTTCAATAATTTAAATAAAATTCTTTGCAAGAATTTCAATTATTTTCATAAATAACAAATTTTTTTTTCTAAAATTCAATTATTTTCAGAAAAATTTTAACAAAATTTCTTAAACTATTGAATTATTCTTTATAACTATAATAAATTTTATTTTATAAATTCAGTTATTTTCATAAATATTAAAATTCTACGGAGGAATTCAATTATTTCCAATACAATTTTAATAAAATTTCTTGAAAGAATATAATTATTTTTAATAATTATAATAAAATTCTTCGTAGAGATTCAATTATTTTCATAAATCATAAAATAATTTTTAGAAAATCAATTATTTTTAATACAATTTTCAATAAAATTCTGTCCACGAATTTGATTCAATTATTAAAAAAATGTTAATAAACTTTTTGGCAAGAATTCAATTGGTTTCACAAATATTAAAATTCAACGCAGGAATTCAATTATTTTCAATAATTTTAATAAAATTCTTCGTTAGAATTTCAATTATTTTCATAAATAATAAATTTTTGCGCTAGAATTCAATTATTTTCAGAAAAATTTTAACAAAATTTCTTGAACTATTAAATTATTCTTTATAATTATAATTAAATTTATCTTAGAGATTCAATTGTATTGATAAATATTAAAATTCTGCGCAGGAATTTAATTATTTTTAATACAATTTTAATAAAATTTCTCGAAACAATTATAAGGGTGAAAATCAAAAATGTTTTCAAAAAGAAATTTTATTTTTGAAAAATATTTTTGTAATATAATATAAATATTTTCATTTTTTAAGAACTAAAACTATAAGAAAATAAATTCACTACAAGAAGAAGTGCATAAACGATAAAATTGAAATTACTAACTAATTTACGAAATAATGATAAAATCCACAAGTTTCGAAAGCTTAAATGATGGAAATATTTTTCTTTAAAAATATTTTCATAAATTACTGATTCTAATAAAACTTGAAAAATTAAACATTTCGAAACTTTAATAATTAATTTTCTTCGAAACGTTTTACAAAATTATTGTAGTAAAATTTTTATTTTGGAGAAGAAATAAATTTCATTCATTTTAATTTTTGAATTTTGAACTATTAGAACTTTAGAAATATAATAAATAAAAATTTGTCAGTAATTCGCATTTAAGTTCTCTGCTCTTAATCACTTATTTTTGTAGTGAATTTTCAATCACTTATACATTACACCTAAATAAAATACTGATCGACTTGAACTAAATTCACAGCTCTAATTTGTTATCACTATTTCTCGTTTATGTTGAAAAAAAAAGAATCTAATTAACACATTCAATTTTAGTAACGAAGATCTAAATTTAACAATCTTTGGTTTTCAATTAGTTTCTATAACGGACAAAAATTGTCTAATTAAAATTATCATTAGAATATCCTAATTAATTTTTTGCTTTTTCTCTTTAAAATTTACAAATCAAGTAAACCCTTTTTGTGCCATTTCGGTAATCGTTTCCCTACAACTTGACGGTAAATTTCACCCCTATAATAACCGCCGTCCTTGATTTCGCCATTCTCGTCGAGCATTTCATCGAAATTCTTCGCATCGTCCTTATTGACTAAAACAATTGGCAGAACAGTGACTGAAGCAATGAGGCCAAAAATTTCACGTTCCTTTAAAACTTTCTTCAGTCCCTCGAGACTAATTGGCTCTGTTTTACATCCACTCAGCTGCATCCAGTTTGAAAGTGAATTTACGTATTCGGTGAGAAGCAGCTCCATACTGTCCTCGTAGACCTCCTGCGATACACTTGTATTGAGAAAGTAGTGAAGATCAATGGCCGGAGTGCCGTAAACGCACAATTGGAAATCCACCTGAAATCAGTCGAGCGAGAATCGAGGAGTTGAGTTTCAGGCACGTATTGAATTGGAAATAGAATCGTATGGGGGAAAAAAGAAGAGGAATTTGTGTTTCGGAAGTAGTCCAAGTCGAGGGTGCTGACGCGACGTAAAAGTGGGGCAGGTGGATGTCTACTCGAGTGCAGTCGAATCCAATCGAATTGAACTCACTGCATTATTCATATTGCATGATTTTTCTTCTGAGACGTTCACCACAGCGGAACCCGTGAAATTCTGATTTTGTTATAGGCGACATACATTTTTTTCTTCTTTTTTTTTGTTCGCTTAAAAGAAATGTTCATTAGAAAAAAAAATTATTTTTCTTACTTTGGGTTCATGGGTGTCAGTAATTTGGTTCGTTCTGTTTCTTCTTTCTAATCTCAGATGGAAAAAAATATAAAGTAACTTTTACTACTTTTATAGTAAAACATTTCTGGTAACTTTTACTACTTTCGGGGTAAATTTTGCTACGTTCGAAGTAAGTTTTATTACGTTCGATGTAAATTTTACTAATTTTTTACAAATATGTTCTTTGAATGTAACAAAATAGTAAATTTTGCTACGTTCAAAAAACATATTTGTAAAAAATTAGTAGTAAATTTAGTAGTAAATTTAGTAGTAAATTTAGAAGTAAATAGAAGTAAATTTTACTAATTTTTTACAAATATTTTCTTTGAACGTAGGAAAAAATTTACTATTTTGCTACGTTCAAAGAACATATTTGTAAACAAAAAATTAGTAAAATTTACTTCGAACGTACCAAAATTTACTCCAAAAGTAGTAAAAGTTACCAGAAATGTTTTACAATAAAAGTAATAAAAGTTACTTTATATTTTTCTCCGTGTGCAGAAAACTGACTTTCTGAACATTTTGTGACAATTTATTCATAATAACTAAAGAATAATTAATCATATAAAAAATTTTAATTTACATTTACATTCAGCGACCCTAAAAATCCCTTAGTATCAAATTTTAATAGCAAAACCAATTACTTTTTTAAAAAAAAAAACTTCCGCCATATTGGATCCGCCATTTTGAATTTTTGAAAACTGACACCAAAGAGTCAATTATGTAATATTTTTTGTACTTTAAATTTTATCTTCACTTTCAGAATGATATAATTCTATTTACATTTTCATTTTACTATCATTTTGATAGATTACTTTTTCCCTTTCTTTTTCCATTTGAAAGATTTTTATTTTTATTGTTACCTTTATTTTCATATTCAACTTGAAAATTTTTTAAATTTCATTTTCACTTCAATAGAAAGCGGAAATGAAAATCTATCGAAGTAAAAATAAAAATCTAATTAAGTGAAAATGAAAGGAAAAATAAAAAATTTGATAAAGCGAGAATGAGAATGAAAATAAAAATCTATCGAATTGTAAATAAAATTTGTAAAAGTAAAAATGAATGTGAAAACAATCATCTTTAAAATGAAAATCATAATAGAACTCTCTTATTTTTGCTTTCAATTTATAGAATTTTTTTCACTTTCATTTCCACTTTGATAGAATTTTATTATCACTTTCATTTTCACTTTGACCGAATTTTATTTTCATTAACATTTTCATTTTCACTTTGATACATTTTATTTTCATATTTTTTTATTTTCACTTTCATTTTGACTTTATTATTTTGAAAATGAAAGTGAAAATAAAAAAATCACTGTCAAAATGAAAATGAAAATCTTTCAAAGTGAAAATGAAAGTGAAAAAAATTTTTTCAAAGCGAAAATGAAAGTGAAAGTTGAAATATAATTACATAATCGACTAGCACAAAACAATTAATTACTAAATTTAACAAAAGTATATAAGATAAAAATCGAAATTTTCGTATAAACAAATTTGTAACTATTTTTATTCAGTCCATTTTTATTTTCAAAAATTAGAATTTCTTACATCAAAAATTTATTTATTTAGTTTTTGCTTCTTTTGTTGGTCATATTGTCTCTAAATTTTAAAATACTTTCATAAAATTGAAAATGTAATTATTTTCTTGTGCTTGTATATTAAAAGAATTTTTATTTAACAAAATTTTCATTCAAAAAAATTTTCATTTAAATAAATTTTCCTTTAAAAGAATTTTCATTTAAAAAAATCTTGATTTAAAAGAATTTTCATTTAAAAAATTTTTTATTTAAAAAAATTTTCGTTTTTAACTATAGGGATTTTTATTAAGAAGAATTTTTATTCAACAGAATTTGAAAATATCTAAACAGAATTTTTAAATGACAAAATTCTTATTTTAGCGAATTTTAATTTTTAGAAATTTTTAAAATTCTAATAACGCTGAACTGTTAGTGTGATAAGAATTAAAATGTCCGAAATATTTTGAACAAATTTTCAAATTTTGCTGCAAAAAAATTATTTTGAAAAATATTATTAATCAATTTTGAAAATTCATGTTAAATTTTATTTATAGTTTTTTTGCAATTTGGATCTAATTATCATTCTTCGTTTTAAGAATTCTTACAAATAAACGTTTGTGAAAATAAAAATTTGTCAAAATGGAAATTTTGAAGTTTGAACATTCAACTTATTTAATATTATCTGTTAAAAATAAGAAATTCTGCTAAGTAAAAGTTTAAATAAAAGTTCTTTTCTAAATAAATTTATATTCTAAGTAAAAATTCTTCTTCAAATAAAAATTCTTTTCGAAATAAAATTTATTTTCTTAGTAAAAAGTTTTTTTTAAAATAAAAATTCTTTTCTAAATAAAATTCTTTTCTAAATAAAAATTGTATTTCAATAAAAAATTTCTTTTTAAATAAAAATTCTTTTCTAAATAAGAATTTCTTTTTTAATAAAAAAATCCCCTTTTTCAATTAAAACGCTGATTAAGTAGAAATTAAACAGAAACGATTTAAAAACTCTTAAATAATAAGTGAAACATTAAACCAACATTGCCCGTTTTCTTTTAAAAATAAAATATTTTACTTCAATCAAAAGTGCTCTTTTTTCTGAGAGCATATATAATATAAGAGAAGCTACAAAAGAGGATTTTTCATTTTTGTTATAAAATTACATTTTGTTGGCTTTAAATTCCAAATTTACAACTCATCCAACAAATGCACTCTAAGAAAACGAATGCTTTTCTCTCTCGAGTCTCAAAAGTGAAAACTTAGACTGACTTAGTGATCCCTAAGTCAACACAAAGTCGAATCGTTCCGCTAGACATGTTTATCTTTGATGCAGTTTATAAGTACTAAATTTTACCGAAGAACAAACTTTATATCAACTATTAATATTCAATATCAAAAATGATAATTCTCATCTTTATTTACAAAATTTGAACAAATTGTTTTGATATCTATTTTTCATCCCAATTTTCGTTTAGGGAAAAAATTGAAAATATGCCTATAATATTTTAATATTATTAGTAAAATTATTCTCTTGTTTAAAAAAGATTGAAAAAATTATTTGGACTAAATATATATTTTTAATCATTGTCCGAATGTTTTCGTTTTATTTTTCTCGATTCATATTTTAATTAATTACTCTACGAAGTGCAATTAATTTCGCGCTTAAAAGTTTTGCATGGAAATAATCCTTTCTTTTTTATTCCTCGACTCTCCTAAACGGGGCGTAAGAAGTATTTTAGTGAACTTACGAAAATTTGATCAATCACTTTCCCATGATTGTCGTACCGGAAAAGCATGTTATTTACCCAAAAGTCACCATGATTTATTACGTGAAACTCGTCCTTTTTCAATTCACACGCTTCAATTCCTTTCGTGTAAATTACTTCTGACAGTTTTAATAATTTTTCGGAAATTCTAAAATATTTACAAAACATATTAATAAATTCTCAATCCGAATAAAAAATGACTGCATGTGAGACACCATAAAAGGTTAAAAATTAAAGTGTGATATAATTTTTTTTTATATCAGTTTTGTAATAAGTGAAAATAATTTTTTTAAATACTTACTCGGGATCAAATTCAGACCAATTCGCCATTTCTTTAGCCAATGCTTTAACGCTCGAATTAAAAAATTGTGACATTTCTGGACCATGAGCACTATTAAACATTCCCTTATTGTAAATTTCCTTTGTCTTTGGTTCCTGTTAATAAATGAAACTTTATTATTTCGTTTTTTTGCTAAATAGAATAATAAATATTAATTGTTTATGTTAATTAGAAATAGTGATAAATTTAAACAACTAGGAGGGGAAAAAAAATATTTTTCTAGGAAACATAATCTTCTTTTTGCATAATTTAACATCCGGATTTAGTGGTGGGTTTTTATAACTGCTCTGAAACCACCTCATTAAAGTAGTCGTATAACATCGCTATAAAGCAAGAACCGCGAAACGTTCTCTAATTAGCTAAAGGGGTGAAAAGTTGAACATTTGAAATTTGAAACAGAAAATTATGCAGATAGTTTGCAGTAACATAAAACGTTAGTCAATTTTTTCGATAACATATTTTTGGGGTTGTATTCGTTTCGAGAAATTTAATAATTTTGAATCGTTCATGCTGTAATTTATATAAAATAGAAACTTTTAATTAAACACAAGCTTCTAATTGAAAGTAATTTTGATTACATAACTTTGTATAAGTTCAAATATCATTTTCAGCACTTATTGTTTCCGATTGCTGAATCTTATTGCTTTAAATATAAAAAAAACCGCAAAAAGTGAAATTCAAGCCGTAAGAGTTTGAGATTGCATAAGTTTTTCACGAGATAATAAAGTTCTAAACTTTTTTTATTTGTTGGCCTCTTAAAAAAGTACAAGTGGGTTATTGGTCAATTAAAGAATTTACTTCAATCTTAGTACTTCAGGAAGGAGGAACTCATAAACTTTTCTTGTAAAAAAAGAAGAAGAAGAAGGGAGAACTTTATGTTAACAAAAAAGTTTTATCTAGATAAATGAAATATCTGATCATTTTCAGGAGATAAATTAAAGTTCAAATTTGGTCTGATAGAAAAAGGTGTGTTTCAGTGGTGCAAAATAAATTTTAAAAATTTCTTTCTCGTCTTTTGTATTTTAGTCTTTGTCTGATTTAAAGTGTGAAGCACGATTTTTTCATTTCCCAATCTATTTCTCGAAATCACGTACAACAGTATCAGGATAATAAAAGATATTGAACTTTGGTTGTGCTCCCCTTTCAAATTTACCCATGTCCTACTAACTTCCCAGTGTGGCGTTGAAAATTCTGTCGAAACTGCGAGTTCAACTCGTTTCAAGAAGAAGAAAAAAGAGAAAAGTCTGACTTGAACGAAAACCGTGGACTTTTATTGCCACCGTTGCCAACAAAGGGTGACTCGACCTTGCGTATCTAAGTTTAACCGTGTCATGTGAACTACGAACCTCTTTTTTCTAAAATGGTTTATTCCCATATCTTATTTTTCACCAATGTTTTTTTTTTTCTTTTTTTCCTTTTTTTTTCTTTTATTTTTATGTTTATTTGAAATTTAATTGAAAATCGTGAAATCAGTGATAATTTGCGAAACAAATATTATTGAATGTAATTGATTTTTATTTCTTAACAAGAGTCTCTGTCTCTCACTCTATCTGAAGCTTGAGTTAAGTGTGCTGAAGATTCCCCCTTTGCATGAAATGTCCAACAGGTGGTGGTTGAGTTCAGTGAACTAGTCAAGGAAATGATTCATCAGCAAATACAAACATTATTTCAAGATTACAATAAAATAATCGTTTAATTAATCAATTTTCTTTTGGGATTTTTTTTATTGTTGTTCGAGTTTAAAATTCGGATCTATGTAGGTTATGGTTAATTTATCCCTTTGATCTAAATTTTCAAGTAGAGTAATTAAATTAATTGTTTCAGGGTTGACACAAGTCAGGAAATTCAGGGAAAAGTCGGGGATTTTTATTAAAATTACTGAAAAAAATTTTAATCTTTAGAATTCATAAGAAAATTCTGAATTTTGGGATCTTTTTTGTTTGCCTCATAAACTATGAAATTACCACGAATTCTAATACAAAACCTTCAATTTTTTCTATTTCTGACAATAATTTCTTTTTAAATAACTTAATTTCTGAAAAACTATCATAAAATTATATAACTTGTAAATTATTTAATCAATAATTTTACTTAAATATTTCAAAATTAATTGAATTTTTAAAGAGTTGTGTTTACAATTTTCATAAATAGATGAACTAAAAGGTTTTAACTTGAAATTTAGAAAAATTGAATTTTAAATGAATTTAATTAGAAATTTTAAAGAATTCAGTTTTTTGAAAAATTTTAGTAATTGAAATTCTTTTGAAAATACTTGAACTTTCAAAAATATATTTAATTCGTGATTAAAAATAATTGAGTTATAGGAGAATTTTAGATATAAAACTCTAAAAGAAATTGGATTTTTGAATAATTGTAATTTTAAGAAATTCACATTCTTTTGAAAGCAATTGAATTTTTTCATATATTTTTAATTATTAATTATTAAATTATTAAAAATAATTGATTTATAGAAGAATTTTATTTAAAATTTCTAAAAAAATAATCGAATTTTGAGAAGTTACAAATATTTGAAATTTTTTTAAATAATGGAATTTTGGAAACATTCCTCAAATTCAAATATTTGAAAACCTTAATTTTCCTTACTTTTAATTAACAATTTTATGCGAAAAACTTTGTCTGAAAAATTTTATTTCTAATTCTTTGAAGAACATTTGCATTTTTTTAAAACATTTATTAAAACCATTAATTATTAAAATCATTTATTTAAAGAATTTTAGAAAAATTTTGTTTAAGTTTTTTTTTTTTTAACCAAAAAAGAAAATTAAAAATAATAAAATTCTTCTCTGAAATTTAATTATTTTCAAAAATTTTCCTCCATTCAATGATTTCAATAGAACTACTATTTTAATAAAATTTTGCAAAACGAATTCAATTATTTAGAAAAAGACAAAATAAAATTCTACGCAAACATTTAATTATTTTCATAAATAATAATAATTTCTCATAAATTCAATTATTTAAAAATATTTTTATCCATTTTTTTGTAAAAATTTAAAAAATTTCAAATTTTAACAAAATTTGTTACAGGAATTCAATTATTTACATGAATAATAAAAGTTTTCGCAGGATTTCAATTATTTTAATCAAAATACTCTAAAGAATTGAATTCTAAAAAAATTTTTTATAAAATTCTTCGCAAGAATTCAATGATTTTCAGAGATAATAAAAAATGTTAAGGGAATTCAATTATTGAAAGAAAATTTGATGAAATTCTTCTCAAAAATTCAATTATTTCTATAAATAATAAAACTTAACATAGAATAGCAATTTTTTTTCAATACGATTTTAAATATATTTATTGAAAAATGCAATTATTCTCAAAAATTGGTATTTAAATTCAATTATTTTCACAAACAATACAAAATTTCTCTGAAACTTAATTATTTAAAAATTTGTTGATAAAATTCTTTATTACAATTAAATATTGAGAAACATTCAATTGTTCAATAAATTATTTATGGATTTAAATAATTGAATTCACGTAGAATTTTTCAGAAAAAATTGAATTAAACATGACTTTCAGTTAAAGTTTTTTTAAATAACTGAATTTTGTAAATGGTTTAAATTAAAACTTTGAAAAACTAATTTAAGTTAAACTAGTTTAAATTAAACCTTTGAAATTCTGAATTTTTCATATTTTTAACTAATAATTTTATAGAATTAATTTTTTTGAAAAAGTTTAATTGAATTCTTGTTAAAATTATTTGAAGTTTTTATTTTCTAATATATATTTAATTGAAGAATTTTCAAATAATCGTAATTTATTAAAATTGAATTGTAAAGATATGGATTTGAAAATTCTCTAGGAATTTTTGCAAAAATTATTAAAAATAATTGATAATTGTTAATCTATTTTTTTCGAAGAATTGTAATAAAATTTTTGAAATTAATTACATTTTTCGAAGAATTTATTTAAAATTGTTTTAAAAATAATTGAAATCTTGTGAAGAATTTTATTATTTAGGAAAATAATTGAAGTTTACCAACGAATTTGAATTACATTTTTTTTTAAAAAAATAATTGAAATCCTGTGAAGAATATTATTATTTATGAAAATAATTGAATTTTATTACATTGTTTTAAAATAATTGAATTCTTTTTAAAAATTTTATTAAAATAGTAGATTTGAAAAATATTTGAATTTCAGCAAAGAATTTTATTATTTGTGAAATGTAATTGAATTCTGTCTTCTTGAAAATAATAATAGAATTGAAGTGATGAAAATAATTTTGAAGAAGTTGCAGTAACAATGAATATTCTTATAATATAAAATAATGAACTTTAGTTATTATAAAACATGAATAAATGGATTACTCGAGTGATCGATTTCTTCATGTTTTATAATAATATTTTTATGAGTAATTCAAATGTGAAAGGTTTGAATTTAAAATTTTTTAAACTCCTAATTCCGATGGAAGAATTATAATGATTAATAAATATTTATTTAAAAATTCTTTAGAGTCAGGGAAAAAGTCAAAATTTTTTCTGTAAGTCAGGGAATAGTCAGGAAAAAACAAAATCTAAAATCTAAAAAAATAAGTTTTTTAACAAAATATTTCTTTTGCTAATGTAAAAAAAACTTAATAAAATAAGAAGAGGGAGAATTGCGCGAATTTTTTTCGATTTGTAATGTAACAGTGTGTCATGAACAGTCTGTGTGTTTATAAGAAAGAAGATAATTGTCATTAAGTGTGACAGACCTTTTCACAAACTGCAATCGAACAAGCGTGAAACCTTGCAAGTGATCGGAGAGCCATTAAACTGTGATCTATGTCAAGTCCAGCTTGACGATTAGCCATTCGGAATCCCATTGGTGCTAAATCGTCGAATACAAGAAGAGGCGGATCACTTTTCTGAATGTAGTATCCTTTCGCGTTAAACGGTTTGATATTTCCTTGAATTTCATTCATCTTTGGCAAAGTCTCTATCAACATTATCATTTCTGTGCCAAAAAGACCTGCTTTCTCCACCTGCGAATTTTTTTCCATTAATTATTTCGATTTTTCAATATTTGACTTTGACTTTGACTTTGACTTTGACTTTGACTTTGACTTTGACTTTGACTTTGACTTTGACTTTGACTTTGACTTTGACTTTGACCTCGATTTTAACTTTGACTTTCACTTCGACAATTATTAAATTGTATAAATTTTGACTCCTGAGGTAAAATTCTGTAATTTAACTTTTCCAAATAAATTTACAAAGATAAATGATAAAAATTATTCCAGACTTTGGAGCAAAAAATAATTTTCGATATCTCGTTAGTATTTCCTTTGCGGAAAATAGAAATAAATTTGCAATCAATAGAAGAAGCGAATATCTATATTTTACTTTTATGTATAGAAAGCAATTATTTTTCTTTCATATTTGTAATTAAAACGTAACATAAAGAAATCTTTTATTTCGAAAAATTATGAAATCATTATCTGGATCATTATATCGGATAAAGATTGAATCAGTAAATAAAAGAATACAAATATAAACAAAGATGAGTTGATTTAATAAATATTTGGAAACTCTTAAAGATTTTTCTCCAATATTTTCTCCAATATTTTCTTTTTTTTTCTTTTTTTTTGTAATTAAAAATAAATAGTTGAAACAATTTACCAATTCTCGTGTTTTTTTCTCATCCGGCACAACTTTAATGATGAGAGACTTTTTCTCGGTGACATTTCGGCAACCGACTTTTCGCGATAAGTCAATAGTGGCGCGAATCATTTGACTTGTATAGTTATCACCTTTATCAGTTGCTGCTTTCGTGAATATATCGTGCACCTGAATCGAATCATCATTCTCTCCTTTTCTAAGGGCCTTTTCCAAGAAATCTTGATTCAGCCATGACAGTGTCCCTTGGGCCATTTTCTGAAATTGGAATGAGAGAATCGAAGAATTTCTTCCAACAAATCATTGTTCCCTCTCTAGAATACGTATAAAATAACCCACCCCCCCCCCCTGCCGTACCCCCTTTACTTCTTCCTCACCACGCAATTCTTCAGAGAAACTTATTGTTCACTCTAAAGATTTATCGCTTCTTCCGATATTCGCGGGAGCATTCTCAAGAAAACTTTAGTATTCGACTTCAATTAGAATCGCAATCGAAGAAAAACAGAGTCACTAGGTGGTGGAAAATTTAAATCCGTGAACTCCAAGAGAGAGAGAGAGAAAACTGTTTACTTTGGATCTTCAGACTCTTTTGAGAATTTAGGGAAACGTTTTTGTTTTGTTTTTTTTAACAATTTAACGATTTGACATTATTTTTTTTCTGTTATCTTATAAATATGAATAATTTCATAATGGAAATTAAAAAAATTTTAAAATAAAAAAATTTAATATAAATTAAGTATTTAATTAAGTACATAATTATTTTTGTTTATATTTTCAAAAAATTTAATATAATTCTTCGTAAGAATTCACTTTGTTTTCATAAATAATAAAATTCTTTGGAAGAATTCAATTATTTTTATAAATTTTAATAGTTTCACTTTCACTTTGATTGATTTTCATTTTCACTTTGACAGATTTTTATTTTCGGTTTCTATCAAAGTGAAAATAAAAATAAAATCAACGTAAAATAGAAATTTTCCTCAATTTTTGAACAATAAAGTAAATGAATATATTTTTTCTTGGGGTCGATTAGTAATTTCATTTCTACTTTCACTTTCGTTCTCACGACTTTCGTGAATTTTATTTTATTTTTTTTTTTGAAGATAAGAAGAAAAGTTAATTGAAAGTGAAAAATCTGTAACCGTAAATATAAATAAATAAAAAATAAACCGTAAATGAAAAAAATTAAAGTTAAAATTTAAAGAGCTTTCTCCTTAAATTTTAACTTTGATTTTTTTCATTTACGGTTTATTTTTTATTTATTCTGTCAAGAAAAAAAAATAAAAGTGAGAATGAAATTCTGTCAAAGTAAAAGTGAAAATGAAAATAAAAATAAAAATTTATTAAAGTGAAAGAAGAAGTGAAAGTAAAAAATGAAAATGAAAGTCGAAATGAAAATCTGACTAAAGGAAAATTGAAAATGAAAGTTTAAACAAAAATCTGTCAAAGTCAAATTGAAAATGAAATTGAAAATGAAATTAAAAACTAAAATCTCTCAGTGTGAAAATCAAAAATAAAAATAAAGTTATTTTGAAAATAAAAATATTTATAAAAAAGAAACTTCAAATTTGTAAAAGTAGAAGCGAAAATGTAAATTCAAATAAAAGTCTGTCAAAGTGAAAGTAAAAATGAAAATGAAAGTCAAAATGAAAGTGAAAATGAAATTACATAATCGACTTTCTGTTTAAATATTTTTAAAAATTAGAAATTACTAGCATTAAATTAAAAATAAACTAATTTTAACATTTATGAAAAGTAATTAATTTTCGAAATTAACTAAAAACTGTTTTCTAACAAAATTTGAATTTTAGCGAAATATACAAAAAATCTTTGTTCATTTGAAAGTTCAGATTTTTGGACATAAATTTAAAGTAAAAACAAAAATCTGTCAAAGTGGAAGTAAAAACTTACAAATGTGAAAATAAAAGTTGAAAATTTGCTAACACTGTGAAAATAGTAGTAAAAAAAAGTAACTGTGAAAATGAAAGTGAAAATAAAAATCTGTCAAAGAGAAATTGGAAATAAAATTTTAAACAAAAATCTGTCAAAGTGAAATTGAAAATGAAAGAAAAAAAAATCGATGAATAATAAAAATTTATCAAAGTGAAAGTGAAAGTTGAAAATTTCTAAAAGTAGCTATGAAAATGGAAGTAAAAAATAAAAATCTGTCAAAGTAAATTTAATAACAAAAATCTCTTACTGTGAAAATTAAAAATAAAAATGAAGTTATAGTGAAAATAAAAATTTATAAAAAAGAAACTTATATTTAAAAAAAAGTGTAAAATTTGTAAAAGTAGAAGCGAAAATGTAAATAAAAATAAAAGTCTGTCGAAAGTGAAAGTAAACATAAAAATTAAATAAAATAATTAATCCTTTAATTAGGATTTAGAGAGTAAAAAAAACTGTACTAATAAAATACACGGTCAAAAGAGAAACCAGTTGAAAAATCTTAGACAAACAATAATTATTTACTTATATAAACATACCGGCAAAGCTCGTGTTAATAATTTTATATAAACAAACACAAAAAATATTTGAATTCCAACAGAAATCAAAGTAAATAAAAAAAATCTTAAGTAAATAATTCTTTACTTTAAAAAAACCAAAAAAAGAAACACTCACTTTTTTAGCACAAACCGTTATATAAAGAAGAATTAAAACTAACCCAAATATTTTCAATTAAAATATATTCGATCCACTTTTTGATTGAAAAAAATAAAAAAATTGAACAAGTTTTCTTTATTTCAAAAACCAATATATATCCAATTTTTAATCGTAAAAATAATAATTTTAGAAGGTATATAATCGTTTTTCCATCGCGAATTTTTTTTTTATTATTATACCTACTATCACCCCTTGAGAAATATCTCATATCACTGGTAAAACGTAATCATTTTAATCGACACTTAAATTGGTTAGAAAATTGCTCATCGATTTATTGGCACTGACCTGTAGAAATGAGTTCTTGAACTACACACTCTTTATGGGATTGAACAATTACTGTCTACACGATACGTACGAGAAGAAAGCGCGTTTATATCTGACATGTGCCGTTCATGTTCTCAAGTTTTGTATTTATATATGCCGCGTGAATTTTCTTAGATAATAAAAATTATCAAAACGCTGTGCTGTCAGATTAAAATTGAAGAGATGGTGTGCTTCAAAAATTCTTTCGCATTGTCATGGTCATTAATTTTATTTTGCCATTTTTTTTTCTTCTTTTTCTTTAGTTCATCTTTATTGCTTCTGTATATTTTTTTCTTTTGTAGTTTATTTTAGATGAAGGGAAATTTTTTTTTTTTTGCATTTCCTGTTCGAATTGCAATATTATTATCAATATTGCTTTTGAATTGCAATCGATTCTGTAAGTCGAAGTTTGCAGATATTGTTGCAATTGAAGATAATGTGTGAAATTATTAATCTTTGTTCTGAATTGGATTTTTTTTTCGTTTGCCTAGCTTATGATAAATTGTAATTATAATAAAATTTTTGAATTAGGAACAATAGTTATTTTAGGTCCATTTGTTTCAGGGTCCCATAGAACCTGTGTAAAAAATAATTTTTTATTTTTATGTTGCACTGCTTTTTTTGGCCATTAATTTTTAAAAATTTTGTTTTCAAAACCGTATTCTTGACCTGATTTTGCATATTTTTGTACTTGTCACGAACCCCAAATGGAGAAATTACGCCGAGTGTCATTATCTCATAAAATGATTGCTCAGATGATTATCCTTGAGGTGCCTTTAATATTAAATACTTAAGTGTAATTCACTGCTTCGACCAAAAGTTATCCAGTCAGAAAAGTTCGTATCAACTTATATCGTAATTTATTATCGTAAATATTTTCTAGAAAAAGAGGAAAGTCTGTAATTTAGAAACAAAAATTTCTCTAATTTTGTTTATTAATAAGATTTATTAACAATTTATTTGTTATTGTAATCTACAATATAATTTATTTTATGACTGAAACGAAACATGTTTGTATCACTAAAATGATTCATGTATTCTATTCATTTTATTTCGTTTGTGAGAGAATTTTCATGCCCTCTAGGCGGCAACTTCATGAAATCTTTTGGCGCCAAATTCAAAAAAGAAAATATTTTTGCATAAAGTGGGTTAACTCTCAATTATATTCAAACTTAATTATGTTAAATTCTTTGTTACATTTAAAACATTCAATAAAAATTACTTTTCATTTCACAAAATTAAAAAATAATCTTTTATTGAAGATAAAAATATAATGAACATAACCTACAATATTTTGCTTCTTAGGTCCCTTTCTTCGCAACAAGTAATACGTTTATTAATTATTATGAATTTGTAATAAATAATAAGTAAATCAAATAAATAATAAATAAATCATAAATAAATGAATAAAACACAAGTTTTGAAGAAGTAAATAAGTTTTTCGTTCATTTAAAAATTATGAATTTTAAGGTAATTCTCAAAAAAAAATGTAAATGTAAATAAAATTTGATGAATAGATGTTAGAAAACTAAGAATTATTAGAAGCAGTTATTGTTTTTATTTTTAGCCGTCACGGTGCATTGAAAAAGAATCGCAATTATTTTATCTGCGAACTGAAAATATTTATAAAACTGGACAATTCAGTTAAAAAATTAACAAGCAAACAACTTTGATATTTTACTACATTTTCTCACGTTTTTTGTCATTTTTATTCACCACATATATAGAATTTAAATTATTATCTCCGCATTGAATTCACTGCTGGTGTCGAGTTATTTTATTGAAAAAAAAATAATCGATTACTTCACCATTATATCAAGTAAATATTTACTTCAATATAATACTTTTTATTCGAATTACATAAACTGAATATTTTTACCAACTGAAATGAAAAGTAATTAAAAATTAAACTTTTATTAAGTTAAGAATGAATTTTTTTAATGTGCAAAACAAATTTTTCGTGTAAAAAATACAAATTAAAAGAAGTAAAAAAAATGTATAAAATAATAAAAAAAATTTATTTTATGAATATAAATAATTGCTCCATAGAAGACATAATTAGAGTAAACAATTATTTAATAGAGTAACTAATTATTCAAGACGAATAAATATTTATTTAATACTATCAAGTAATAATTTATTTCAATCACAGAAAAAAGCTTCACCTTCTGGAACAACAATGAATTTCCCCAGAATATCGAAAGTTTTAACTGAAACAACTCAAAATTTTACGGACAACGAAATTCGTAATTATTCTAAGTAAACATTTTTTCCAGTTTCAATAAATTTTTTTCGTCCTGAAAAATTAGATGTTCAAAAAAAAGCAAAAAAAAAAAATCTCGATTCGTCATGCACAATGACACGCAAACGAGAAGAGTATTATTAAATAAATTCCTTTTTTTCTGATTTGAGTGAAATTTTTTTTTGTCGCAAATTACGACGCATGTAATTGCATAATGTATTCATAATTCTGCGTAAACAGTTGTATGCATTATTTATTATTCTACTTACCTTTATGGAAATCATTATTTACTCCACATTGTCACACAGGGTGTCAATGGAATAATTTATTTTTGTAAAATCAATTACAAATTTTTATGGACATTCAATCACGTCATTTGCTTTATTGAATGGAAAATTATACTTTTTGCAACAATCAAACATGTTTAATACATTGAAATTGATAAAATGCAAAAATCATCTATTAAAGTCAATGTATTGTATATATATAAAATGTGGTGTTACTTGACAATTTTTTATTATTATGCTTTATATGATGTAACGAATCAATTGAGACGCACATAAAATGAATTGTATTTGAATTTTGTCAAATAGTATAGGACGCTTATACTGCAATTGTTGTTGAAAAGTTTTTTAACAAAGTTCATTATTGTCTATTTGTTCCTATAACCGTGAACTTTTATGTATCTATAAACTTTTACGGTAGTTTTCAAACCAGGAAACATAATAATGCAATAATAATAATAATGCCCTGTGTATTGTTATACGAACCTGAAAATCGTACAAACTTATCAGCGCTTTATTTTGTTTATTGCAAATGGCATTGTTTAAAACTTGACGTTTATAGTCGTTCAACTTTTTTTTTATTATTGATGAATTTTGATTTGAAATTATGTTTGCTATTAATTTAATTTTCAATTAATTTTGTTAAATTTTTTTTTCCGAAGTGGAAATTTGTAGAATAGTGATGGTAGAGAATCAAAAAATGTAAATAGAAAAATTATTTAATCTAAAGATAAGGAGTTGAATAAACTTTGGTCAGAAGTAAAATTTTTCGTCATAAGAAAAATTATTTTGGAAACGATTCGAAATTTTTTTCGTGCGTATAAGGAAAAAATTTTGTACTTTATGACATTTTTGTCATTGTCATGTAACGATAATGCTTCGAACAATTACGTCATATAAACAAAGAACTTTTAAAAATGTCGTAACTTTTTTTACAGCATCATTATCTGATATGATTTTCGTTAATATTCTTCTCTAATGTCTTTTTGGGACAAATTATACAATTATATTTCTCTCTCTCTCTCTCTTTCTGTTAATATTTGAATTAAAATATTTTGACAATTTTTAAAAAATTAAATAAATTATAGTTTTTTTTGTCTGTTTTTTTTAAAGTTAATTACTTCCGTTTGAAAATTTATGTACGCACAACAATTACTTTCAGGCAGTAAGCGTACACACGAGTACTTACCGTTTATTAAATTTTGGTAAAAAATTGTTTCCCTGTCTCTACCGTCATATTATGTTCACTAAAATGCATATACAAGGTTCAATTAATTTTACCCGAATACATAGACTGTCTCTTTCAACTTTTTGACATTAGTTTCATAATTTACGTTCCTCGTTTGGTTTAAAAATGATTTTTATAGCATAATTTTGATTGATTAAGTTGATAAATTCAGTAGAATAATTTACGATCGTGGTATTTATCAATCATAAAAGTTAATAATGTTTCTAAAAAGAAGTAAATAAACTCTAAAATTGCTCCATTTGGAAAACAAAAAATTTTTTTTTTTAAAAAGTCTTATTTCATTTTTGAACATAAATTCTAAATAAACAAAAAAGAAAAGAAATCTTATTTCATTTTTTAAACATAAATATTTTAAATAAAGATACTAAATACTAATTGAAAAAATTAAAATCTGATTTTATTTTGATAGCATAAATTCTTAATAAAAATTGATAAAGGTAGAAAATTAAAATCCGATTTCATTTTTTAGCATAAATTCAAAATAAAATTACTAATTATAAAACAACTTTTGAAAATTGATAATAATAGTGGAACTAAACTCTTTTAAAGCAGAAACCTTGTAATACTGAATTATTTAAACCAGTACTTTTCTTAGATTCTCGTCTACTATAATTAATGACTTTCAAGTTTCAATGAGACGTCTAACTATAATTTGAAACTAATGCTATAATATTACGATATATTACGTAATCTGAATTTTACCAAATGGATTATTTCCTTCTAAAAAATTTTTATCATTTGCATATTAATTTTTAGATTATATATATTTTTTGTTGCTTCTCTTCTTTTTTTTGTTTCTTCTTCGTTTTTAATTTAATTACATTCTGCAAAGTGTTCAAGGGATATTTTTTCCGATAATTTTTTAGTTATTAAAAAAAATTCCAGACATCCTGGAATAAATTGTTATTCAGTTCCTGTAGAAATATCACATTTCATTGAGAAGAAGAGGTAAAAATAATTTTTCCATTATGTAACTCGATAACTTTTTCAATTTTATCGAAAATAGAATTTGGAATATTTTTTACTGTCATCGTCAAAGTTAATTGACAAAACTAACGATCCTGTCATAAAAGTATGTGTCAATTTCAAATTGTAATTACATGAATCTCCAATTTTCTTCGAAATAATGGACGATAAAAAGGAAACATTACATTTTCGCTATAAATAGCAATAGATGAGTGCTTTTTTCTTTTTTTTCTAATTAATATTCGTTCTATTTCATTTGTGAGAGAGTTTTCATGACATCTAGGCGGCAATTTAATATATTATGAATAATATATTAATATTAAAAAATAAAAATACATAATTCAGGGCTCGGATCGTCTTTAAGACTCAAAAAAGTCGCTTTAGTCGCATAAATTCACAATAAAAGTCACGAAAAGTCGCATAAAATTTCCGAAAAAGTCGGAAAACAGTCGCATGAAATTTTAGAAAAAACAAAAAAAAACACGAAATTGTCAAAATTAAAAAAAAACATTTCTCGACAACACATACTTTAATATCAAACAATCCGGAATATAATTTAATAAAATTTATAGCAAAATTTTAATTAGGTATTTTTAACATTTTTTTTAAATTCTCTTTAAAATGTCAATTATTTTTATAAATAATAAAATTCTTCTCTGAAAATCAATTATTTTCAAAAGTAATAAAATTCTTTGCAGAAATTCAATTATATTCAAATTTTTTTTTTTTAAATTTCTCGTCAAAATTTTATAAATAATAAAATTCATCATGGAAATTTAATTATTTTCAAAACTTCTGATCAAATTCTTTGCAAAATTCAATTACCGTAAGTGAGGCTAAATTCGCTCAATTTTTCAATTCTTTTTTAAATAACTTCGGGAAACGATG